TTGAGCATGGTCAGCAGATATCAGGGGAACCCTGGCAAGGCTCATTGGACTGCGGTAAAGAATATTCTCAAGTACCTGCGGAGGACTAAGGATTGGATCCTTACCCTTGGTGGGAGTGATGACTTGAGAGTAGTAGGGTATAGTGATGCTAGCTTTCAGACTGATAGGGATAACTTCCGCTCTCAGTCGGGCTGGGTCTTTACCTTAAATGGAGGGGCAATCACTTGGAAGAGTTCCAAACAGGAGACTGTAGCTGATTCGACTTGTGAATCAGAGTACATAGCAGCGAGTGAAGCGGCAAAGGAGGCGATATGGCTGAGGAACTTCATCGGAGACCTTGGAGTTGTACCAGCTATTAAGGAGCCTATGGAGATTTTCTGTGACAGCAATAGTGCGGTTGCCTTAGCCAAGGAACCAAGAGATCATGGCAGATCCCGACACATTGACAGAAAATATCACTTCATAAGACACAAGATAGAAGAGGGACTCCTCGTGGCAAAGAGGGTATCGTCAGATGAGAACCCTGCGGATCCCCTTACGAAGGGACTGACGAGGGTGAAGCATTTGCAGCATGCGAGGCGCATCGGGCTGAGGGACGATATTAGTTTTACAGATTAGATAGCCTTTTTCTGAAACTTGTAAAATGTAATCGACGTTTGATGATGAATAAAATTTGTGATTTATTTATGAGTAAAGTGTTGCTATCATTGTCAATTATTTACTATTGTTTCAGTTTTGCATGTTTTGACTTCCAGAATAATTAATTTATTCAAACTCTCCACAGTCGGTCATATGTCGGAAGTAGGTATGAATCAAGACTGTCATGAATTGGGATTGTAGATGACTAAAGGTGTTTAGCCATAGCAATGGTTGCTACAACATTCATGAGTACTCATAAGTTATGAGTATTGGAATAAACCCACGCTCACTTGTATCACTTCATGGAATTTATCTCGAGTGATCGTGAGACGGTAATATCATATAAGTCTTCAAACCTAGAGATATGAGTTGTTACCTATGAGTTGGTTGTGCATTGATTGCACGTAAACGCATCAGTAACTTGATGTTATAAAACGTGCCTTTGTGTGCAATTCAATAAGTAGTAGAACAAGCATATGAGTCGAAGTTTATCTGTTCCTTCTAGAAATAGAAGCGATATCTGGGCCCCTCGATGATTTTGTGTTGACCCATGTACCGGGCCCGGTCAGAACTAAATTGATGTGTTCAGTTAAGTTCTTTGTCAAACAAATCGGAAATCGAGAAACAACTGCTAGACAATAAGTAAGACATTGTTCCATGTATTTGTCCGGCTGATATCATGAGAGCAGAGGATTATATGATCACTTATCTAAAATGGCGCTTCATAGTTCACAAGAGTTTTCGAGAGCTACGATTGCCGGTTGGTTCCTGAAGTAATATAGGCAAATACAGTTATTAGACTTATCCAAGTGGGAGTCTGTTGGATAAGGTGTCTAAGTCCATAACTTATTTGGTATATACTTGACCCGACCCGGCATGGTCCATTTGGGTTGCACTTCACCCGAACTAGTTATGGATAATTTTATGAGAGTTGTATACTTACAATTTATTAATATATTATAAGTTATAATATATTAATATAAAGTCATGTTACTTAATTAGTTTTAATCTTGAATTAATTATGAATTAATTTAGTGATTAAAAGGAAGACTAATTAAATCATGGGCTATTATATTTATATGGTGTGGGCTAACACTCATTTGGAATGGGCTAAGCTTATATGGAAGTCCATGGATGATCCATGGAGCTTTTACCCATGGATCCTTGGAAGAGGAAAAGACATGGGTTATTAGGGTTTCACCCTAACCATGTACACTATATAAACAAGCTTATGTTGCATGAAAAAAGACACTAATGTGTGTGTAAGTGTGGTGGCCAAAATCAAGAGTTAGTATACTCTCTCATACATTTTCCAAGTTTGTGGTGATTTGTGATTTCCATTTGAGGCATTCACATTATTGGTGCTTGGCTCTCAAACTCCAAGGAATCAACAATCAACAAAAGGTATGTAATTCATCTAGTTCTTTTATGGTTAAAAGTACCCCATGCCATGCTAGATAGGTTATAAACCTTGGAAAATAATATTTTGCATGTATCTTAGACAAACATAGATCCAAGGTTTAATAGGGTTGCATGTACACTTAGGAAGTGTTAGAATGCTCAAAACCCAACAAATACAAGCTTGGATTCAAGGTATACCAACTTATTATGCAATTACTGATGGTTTTTATATATGTTATATTAAACATATTTGCACATTAGGATTGACACATAATTTAATTATCGGTGCATGCAACCTATGGATCTATATCTTTAAACATTATAAGAACATACTACTGAAACTACTATGAACCCTCAGTGAAATCGAAAATCAAAAGTAGAGTTACATAACTTTAGTGTTACAATTATATGTTGAACTCTTTAATCCTCAGTTGGTCTTCAAAAAGCTAGCACCAAAATTATGGTTCTCACACCCGAACCCTAGAAGCTAAAGGAATCGATTTAGAGAGAGAGAGAGAGAGAGAGAGAGAGAGAGAAAGAGAGATGAGAGGCAGATTTTCAGCCTAGGCTACAAGAGAGACAAATGGCCAAAAATCCTAGCCCTATGAGTCCTTTTATAGCTAACGGATGTCAAAGGATAAACCATAATTTGAATATTAAAATAGTATATTTTAATACTTATTCAAATCAGTTTCCTTATATGCACTTAGAGGCCTGTAAAACCTAATGAAGAGGCTCTCAAAATTTTCCAAGCAAAGAGAGTTCTAGCATCCCTCGTTCGCTTAGCTTTTAAAGCAGTTGCAGTTTAACCCTTGTACCGCAAGTTAATTCCAATTAACCCAAAATTAATTTCCAATTAATTCTGATTAGTTCTAAATTAATTCTAATTAATTTATCAATCATATAATAAATTAATAAATTATTTCATCTCTCTTCTAATATCATTTCTAGATATATCTAGATATGAGGGCAATACAAAAAAGAATTTTCTTTTATTCATAAGAATATATCAATTTAGTTAAGACGTTAGACACCTAAATCCAACAGTTTTCCACTTAAATAAGTCGCCAACTAGAATTGCAAGTATAAACTCTGAATAACCAGAAAAACGTGGTTTCTAAAGCTACGGTCGAACTCGAAATCATATAAAACGATGGCCCTAAGATAAGTGACCAAGTATTCATTTATTCACAAGATATCGTAAGGACACAAGACATGGATATAAAGCAATCTCATAGCCAAAGATTTTGTTTCCCGGTTTTCGATTTATGATGACCTCATTAGACTTAAAATTGAGCACATCACTTTAGTCTAGGTTGGGCCCGACACTATAGTGTCAACATCAAATCACTGAAGGGCCAAAATATATTTCTTTTCTTTAAGGCAAAAGGAACGAATAAACTTTAACGACATAATTACAACCTTTACTTATCACGCCATACATGGAACTACATTTTATAACATCAAGTTATAGATGCGTGTATGTAATACCAATGTTCAACAAACTTGCAAACTATAAATTATATATCTTCATTTGAATAATAGATGATATTATCGTCTTAGATTTACTCATGATTAAATCCATGAAATAATAATATATAAGTGTAGGTTGAACTAATACCTAAAAGATCCATTTTAGCACTCATGGGCAATAACAACAATTTTCATGTCATTTCCAATCACTATAGACAATCTATTATCATCCATGATAGTCTTAAATCATTAATTACTCCCTAAAAGCATAACTGACTATGGTATTTCGAATAAATTAATACCGAGGAAGTAAACTTGCAAATTTAAATGCAAGAATAAATAATTGAAGAAGGTAGTACACATACTTAACAATAAATCTCACTACTAGAAAAACAGCCTTTTACGACGCGCAATGCGTGTCGTAAAACGCTCAGACGACGCGCAAATGCGTGTCAAGGAAGGCCCTGTCATAACGAGAGACGACACGCATTTGCGCTTCGTCTATAGACGATGCGCATTTACGACGCGCATTTATGACACACATTTACGACGCGCAGTTATGACACGCAATGCGTATCAAGGAAGGACCTGTCATAAAGGAAGACGACACACATTTGCGTGTCGTAACCTTACGACGCGCATGTTTATGACACGCAATGCGTATCAAGGAAGCCCCTGTCATAAATGAAGATGACACACATTTGCGTGTCATAAACTTCAGTAACCATTTACGATATGCATTTACGACGTGTCATTACGATACTCATTTACGCATAATACAAAAATATGTAAACAAATATATACCAAAACAATCAATTTCATCCAATAACATTATGTCAAAAAATTGTAATACATTGATATTAAGGGGATCTAATTGTACATTGTTATTAAGAGGTTTTCCCTAACTATATAACCTAATACTACATTGTGTATCAAGGGACACCTTCTGCAAAGTAATGCTATACAAACTACAAAGATATACACAAAGATGATAAACATCAAATTCCTACTAAGTAGAGTTGCATCTTGCCTTTCATAATTCTTTAAGACTAATGAACCCCTGCTCCGATAATTCTTGTGACCTGATCAAATAAAAGTCAAAAAATTAATATGCTAATATAATTAATAGAATAATCAAACAAGGAATGTTAGTTGCATTTGTTTAAAAAATAAGAGCAATAAAGAGAAGGTATTTAAATAATATATTATTAAACATTTAAAAGTTAGTGACAAGAAAATTGAGTTCTCACCTTTGTACAAGATATGTTAACAACTGAATAAGGCGTCACCGAAGTGCTAGAAAAACATATGTAGGGTTTTTTCAGATAATCTACCAGCCACTGATATTGCATACTTCCGAACTTGAAGATCCTACCACATATACATATATTTAGAAAAAAAGTAATGGTAAATGAAAAAGAATTTACAAGTACTCTACAGCAGCAAAGAACAGCCACTGAATCTACTGGGCTCCATCATCTCTTGCATTAGTAAAGAGCAACATCTTTCCTTGTGGCTCTATCATGTCTTGCAAATTCAAGAAGATCATGACCCTACATGCATGAAAATGTAATGGTAAATAATAGTAAATTGAATAAACTACACTTTTGTCCCTATGAATAGCTGACTTTTGCAAATTTTACAACAAATTTGTGAATTATACAAATCTTGAATGCACCTTGAAATTGAATCGTGCAAGTGTTTGTAATGCAAGCTGCTCCAAATCAGATCCAGTAAGTTCTGACATTTGTTGCATGTTGTTAGCCATGTTTGCTCGACTTGGAGTTGCAGATGCCCCAATGTGGTTAAACAGCTCTGGCTTCGACATTATCTCATTCTGTAGCATAAAATGAATTATAATATTACTACTATTCAAGACTTAAATTAATTGTAAATTTACCTTTAGTTGACCTTCAACATGAGCCCTAAAGAGGGCCTTACCAACAGCCTGAAGCAAACGGAAAAAATTCATACACCGATGAAAATCAACATACAAAATAAAGTATTTTATTAGAAAAAAAAAGTGTTGTTCTTGCCTTCTAAAGCCCTTCAAAATCAAGTACGCCAAGATCCGGTGAAATAATCCCTTCATCCAATCTATCAACTATCTGAAATACAACAACAATGGATATTAAAAATAAATATTCATTTTTGTATATTCGTTATACTCATCTACACTAAAAAAAACCGATTTTTAAAAAAAGAAGAAAACTGATATTAAAAATAGAATTAAAAAGATAGCAAAAAAAGATATTTAAAGTAAAAAGATAATAAGAAAAACTGAATAATAGAAGTAAAATGAAGAAAAACACTATTTTAGTAAATATTTTTAGAACTATACTAGATTGGTAAATAATTTTTTCAATAACCCCATTTTGGTTAAATCCATTATTACTTATTAGAAAGAACAAAAAAAAATTGAAGTTTTGTACTCCTATTTATTTTGTGTGTCTCATAACCATGTAAATTTGAGAAATGAAAAAAAAAACAAATGCATACATTCATGGATTTAACTACATAAGAATTCAACCAGCTTACATTAAAATAAACCATTGGTCATAGTTTTCAATTGGGAGAAGTAAAAAAGGATAAACTAGGTTGAACACATTAATATGTTTTAGGGTTAAATGCATGAAATAGCAACTTTCTTTTATTTACTTGTTGATTCTTCATGTACTTTGGAAAATCAACCCAATTATATTTATAGATGTGCTGTCATTTAAACACAAACCACTTTACAATCTTATAAAATGGGTAGATTTTTCAAACTACATAGATATTACATCAGAATGGACAGTGCACTTGTATGTAAAAAAAGCAACACAAAGATGTTTATGTAAATAGAAATAAATAAATAGCAGGTACCTTGCCAAGTGCTGTTAGAATCGGAGGCACCACTTCATAAAGCTTCGAAACCTATTCAAATTACAAAAAAAACGTCAACTAAACCGGTATCAAGAATCCATGACAGGTTGTAATGCATTAAATTGCAACTGAAACTGATGTCAATGGGACAAAATTTGCAACTTTTTGTCCCACCCAAAAATGGTGAGACATGGAATCTTGTCTGTGAAAAAGACGTAAATGCCCTCCTCTTCCATGTCATCAAAAAATAGCCCTATAAAGCTTGTCTAGTCCCATGTAACAAACACGACCAATAAGGTGCTAACCAGCTGAAAGAGAGGATCATCAGGCAAGTGCTTTAATGCAAATTCTCTTTGACACATGTATCTGGGATCAGTTTCCTTAAAACTCCATGCCCAAATCCTAGAACAACCTGCGTTTCAATACCATCAATTAATTTTCTCATGATTATCGTAACCAATTTTCAATAAAATTTAATTTAAAAACTTCCACAAAGGATTTTTAATAAGTGTTACACATTACCTTCCCACTATTCAAGGTTTTCCAGACATAGTCTTTCAATTGATCCTTGGTTATGTTCTCTCCACATTCATCCACCACTGACTTTATCCAAAGCAAAACCTCCTGCACTAGAGAAAAAAAAAGAATCTTGTTATTCAAAACTAAAAAAGAAAAAAAGTACATTGTATAAGATTCTAGTCCGAAAAAGAAAAAAAATACAATGAGGGTACCTGATTAGCCAAACCATGGAGGGGTCCAGCTAGACCATTTAATGCTGCAGCAAATGAGAGGTATGGATCTGATAGAGCACTAGCAACCTAAAATAACCATCAAAAAACATATCCTATAACTACTTATACAATTAGGGAATTACACTTTGGAAATCCATTGAATTATAGAAGTGAAAATTGTTTTGTAGTTGGATGACATTGCTATAACTAGGTAAAATTTCCAAGTATAAAGTCAGATGCTATAATAAACAAATAAATGAAAGTGCCTTTTATCTTCGGAACTTACAAGATGTACAGTATGAGCACTGACATTTCCACCTTCATGGTCACTACAATAAATCAAGATTTCATAATCCTTAAACATATATTCAAAATATATAGAAACAAGTAAATAATCATAAATCATATTCTTACGTATGGATAGTGAAATAAAGCCTCATAAGCTCTTGCATGGCTGGACTATCAAATCCAAGCATATGCGCAAAACTTACACCATAATCTAACGAGTCATCCACTGATACAACTTCTCTATTTTTATATATCCTTTTTAAAAAAAATAGCAAATCAAATCAACTATAAACAACAGTCAAAACTTTCATTTTTCAATATGAAATTATGTAGAAATGGCATTTCTTTGGATATACACATAGACATACCTACGGTATATATATGCAGCTACAGCTGGTAGTTGAGAAATCAATGAAAGAGAGTCCTCAAATGTCGGCTCCCAGTATCTTGAATCATCGTAATAAGTATATAAATCATCTTTTGCATTAAAACTAAGTGTGTTAAAAAATATAAAAATTAGAAGAAACCCACTTGGATTTATGGATTCCATTCTCATAAGCTTTTGCAAATTCACTTTGTACCTGTGAAAAAAGGAGTGCAGTTAAATTATGGAGTATATTTACTGCTTAATTGCTTATAATATTAGTTTAACTTAACAACATGATTTTATATAAATATAATGAGTGCAAAGTATGTTCCTATTTGCTTTATCCTACCAAATTGACCTCTTTTGTAAAGATACAATTACATGAAAAAGCTAACCTGAAGAGCCATGAAACCAGTTATAAACTGAGTCATTAGATGAGTTGTTATAGGTAATGCATTGATGGCTTTATACACATGATCTGCAACAATAAACAGAATACACCAATAAACATAAAGTTCAACTTTTTTATATATTTAAATTAAAAGGAAATGAAATTACATGACCTGGGATAATGGCACGACTGCGTAATTCTTTGGACAAAGCATTCACTTGTTCTGTTGTTGGTACCTTTATTGATGGAGAATATAGAAACAAAAAAATACCAATAAAGAAAATAAAAATAAACAAATGGAATATTAACATTTAACAGTTTACCTTTCCAGTCAAAAGAAGAGAGTAGCAGATATAGTAAATATTATTGTTATATCCTCCTAAAATTCCACTTCCCTTGTTAATTGAGACTCGGGAATAGGGTGTAACCCATTAAAAACTCTAATTTATGGAATCAATGGAAGTTTTCTCAACATAGAAACATCATTCAACAGAAAAGGGAGAACAAAGAAGAAAAATCGAGAAAAAAGAGAGCGAGAATAGAGATAGTCGAGAATGAGTAGATGAGATTGTCCAACAACTTACCTGATGGAAGAGACCGCGGGAGGAACAATGAAGACATCTTCGGACAATGATGGAAGATGGAAAAGAGGTGACCATGGGAGATGGAAGTGATGACGAAGCAAAGTCTATAAAAAACTAAATAGAAAACTAGGGTTAAAGGAGGATGAATTAGAAGTAATAAATAACTAGTACTAGGGCTTACTATGGAGGTTTAGTTATCGTAATCCAAGTGTACGGCGCCTCCATCATCGAAGGATTTGGGCAGAAGAAGCAAACATGAAAGACTGGATGAAGCTAATATCAACCATATGACTTCTTGATACTTTTGAAAACGTGAATTCAAGGAGAGGAGGAAACCTTGCTGGGCTTAGAATCCCTAGTTCTTCGTCATAGAGCCCTCAATCGCAATGATTTTGTAAGGTCTATTTTTGGGAGCAAAAAACCCTCAATCTCAATAGTCTTGTTCTGCCTTAAGATTTGACGAATGTGAAAGCTAAACTCCATCATCTCCAAACGATTCCATATGATTTCAACCCTTTGTAATAGCCACTTCAGTTGTTCTATTATGTCTCGTACCCGTCGATCACCACCAAAAACCCGAGCACGTACTAAGTTGATAGAAAAATGAGAGAATCGGGATTTTAGAAGAAAATAAAAGACCTCCAGCTACCTACTAAGAAGCAAGACACACGTTAGGGTTCTCCGTCTGTGTGTTGTTTTGATTTATCTGTGGGAAATCAGAGACAAGCGAGAATCAAGCTTTGCATTCCATACTTCATAGCGATAACTCATGGAATTCACAGAGCTTCATTAAGCCAAATCATAGAAAAGAGAAAAGTAGAAACGAAGGAAGATGAGAACAAAGCGGGGTTTTCTATTTTTTGGGGATTTTGTTTCCCACTTAGCTATTAAAGGTTGGAACGCGCGTTCCATTAAAATTTATAAAGCGACATCCTTAGACGACACACATTTTATTATAGGTGCCCTCCGTGTTTTTTTGTTTGTTTAGACACTAATTTAAGGGCGCACAATAATGCGCGACATAAATCCTTAAATTTTTTTGAAGAGATGACACTTTTTAATGTCACACGCTTTTGCGTAACATAAATAAAGGAGTGTCGTGGTTTGCGCATCGTAAAAGGGTCTTTTTCTTGTAGTGTCTCTTTTATTAAATTGCCAAAACAGTTACAACTTATTTTGTTATATTGTTTCAACTTATCAACTAACTAAAAAAACAAACATTATCTCTGAATCTTATGCTCCTAACATGCTTGATGTGCTTTGCCTTTCTAAAGGCCTTTGTAAAAGGATCAACTGGATTATCCTCTGATGATAATAAGTCACCATGAGGCTGCCATCTTTAATTATATGTTGCATATAATGGTATTTTCTCATAATGTCCCTAGATCTCCCATGATCATTTGTTTCTTTAGTCAAAGAAACCACACCTTCACACATAAAATTTTTATGGGTTCTTGGATTGATGGAACAACTCTAAGATTGTCACACCCCCAGCCGACGGCGGAAACACCGGGCGGTGTAACATCATTCCTTGTATCACAGTAATATAACATATATTGAACAGTACAAAAGAGTTATTATAAACTACATACCTTTATTGATAATAGAAAGTTATATTACTATTCTAGCTTATCAAGTTCCTGAAAACACATGCATTTTGAAAATACGTCAACATAAAGTTGGTGAGACCACATGTATTGACTCAGAGTAAAAATAGTACTTTTCCAAGTTCGAAAAGTATAGAACATAGTTTGAAAATATCATTCTGACTCATACTTATTTCTAACATATAGTATATATATCCTAGGTATAATGGTTTACTTATAAGTATACCTATAAGTTTCATATACTATGCATATAAGTGTTTGTAATCCCATACAAACAAAGGTTACTACGTATAAATCCTATTTTAATTCTATACGAGTATGTGGGCTAGGTATAATTGTCTAATTAATGAGCAAGTAGTATACCTACAAATTCCTTGTACCTAGAGTATAAGTGTTTGGGAAACTTATACTTAACATTTATACTTGTATATAGACAAAGTATAATGCTTCTAAAATTGTGCTACCATCAGTCCGTAACCGCTGCTAAAACGACATCAGTACCTCTGAATGGTACTATAATGATTCGCACCAATATAATTTTTCCGCACGCTTCATCAACGTCGGACAAACAAAAGGATCGTTCGTCACCCGAAAAACGTTGGGTTGTAGCTGGTAACCATGGGTGGGGGTGTCAACCCGCATAGATCTACACACAACTTCCTCGTTGGAACAATGGGCAAGTTTGTCACCCGTAAAATATTGGGTTGTAGCTAGCAACCACGAGTGGGGTGTTAACCCACATAAATCTATACAAAACTTCCTCGCTCACACGAGATTAGCGGTTACAGTCAGAGGATTTCCCCTAAGATTTCCAATCTTAGTTGATGAATAAAATAGCTCATGTAGACTTTGTCGACCTCCTATAGTTCTAATAGCGAAAGCATATTCGTGTCTAAAACTCTACGTTACTAGACTATGCTTTAAATGTTACTCCGAATTTTTATAATATTTAGGCAGTACAACAACTATAACTTGAAGTAAAACTAGGTTTTATCTAACATAAAACTAATAATAACAACATACTTAGCAAGCTATATATATATATATATATATATATATAATAATATATATATATATATATATACACATACAGAACTCCTGAGTATAACTCCGGGGCTATATCACACATAATATATATAACTCCCGAGTGTAACTACGGGGTTACATTATTATAATCACTAATAACAACATGCTAAAAAGTTTAAGATAGTTGTATGATTTAGATATATATTAGATATATTCTAAGTATATACGATACAAAACAACTATATCCTAGTTAATATAACTATCTATGTTGATATGGATATACTATCATATAAACATAATATTAACTTTTATATAATATTTAGCATGCATTTCTCCCCGAAAACATTAAAAAAGTAGGGTCGTGAAACTCACCCTAGTAGCGTGATTTTATAGAATCTAACTAGAAACGGTCAGCGGTTCGTCGTTGTCAGGCTCAGGAAGGGAAACGACCTTCAAAAAACGAGGGAAAGAAAAGTAGAAGGTGTAAGGATTGAAAGGGTTGGATTTTCTATTTATAGGCAGTCCAGGGCACTCTCACGTCGTGAGAAATCAATTCTCACGTCGTGAGGCCTGGCTGCATCACCTCGTAGCTTTGCCATCTGCATTTCTAGCTTCGAAAGTTGTCCGTTTGACTTCTCACGTCGTGAGAATATATGTTCACGTCGTGAGCCCTAAACTTATTACATTGTAGACTTGCCATATGCATTCTAGCCTTGAAAAGTGTCTGTTTGACTCCTCACACCGTGCGGATACATGCTCACGTCGTGAGTCCTGACAGATTAGGGTTTCTACCACGTGTCATGCTCTCGTACAACTGCATATTGGGAAGGTCATAACTTTTGCATACAAACTCTATTTTTGACGTTCTTTATATCCACGCGTAGGTATTTCCGAGTACTACAACTTTATTTTTGACGTTCTTTATATCATAACTTCTTCACGCGAAGTTAGATTAAGATTTGTTAAAATCTTTTGGGATTGTATGGATGTATACTTTGATTTATACCATAAGGTAGGTATGAAAGTTCATTTTTGTATTAGAATTTTCCATGAACTACAAAGTAATTTATTATATTATTTGTTTGACATAATCATATGCGACTGTTGTTGACCTATTTTGACTGGTGTTACATTCTCCCCCCGTTGAAATAATTTCGTCCTAAAATTTATCTTTTACCAGATACCACCGAAGGATCCTGGATAGCTTCTCTGCTTCCGATTATGAATGCCCTATTACGACCTAAACATTCATTACTCCTTAACTTTGGACATTCCCTCCTAAAGTGTCCAATTTCGCCACACTCATAACACGTTTTTTATCCATCAAAGTTTGTTCTAGTATTTGTTCCTTGATTTACAGTTGCAGGTGTTATGCAGTAGCTGACGGTATGTCCCTGCTTGTTACACTGAGTGCACCATAAACAGTTACCTAGGTGATGACGATTGCACTGAGTGCACCATGGGAGTTTCCCCTCATACTTCCTTGGTTGTGTGGGTATTGCTGTCGTGGATGCATAATTAGTTGCCACATCTTGTCTCTTCTCGAATGATTGTTTGGGATTCTTCTTAATCCTCATCCATTTTGGTATGGATTTACGAGTCGTGCGTTTTATCTTGGCTCCTCCTAGAAATTGACGATAAAGGGTATTCATTGGGGGTAGGGAAGATGCAACTGATTTTGTATCTTCTATAGGCTCACTTTCTTCGATTGGTTTGCTCTCTTCCAGTTCGTTGGAAGGTAAAGGTGCTCCGTCATCGGAGGGTATTGGATTGAAGATAGTTTGAATCATAGGGTAGTAAGGATCATCTGCCATAAGAGGGGATGAAATCTCTTGTTTGTCATCTATATCCTCTAAGATTATCCATTCTCGGGAATGAGCCATGTTGAATTCCTAGTTTGTATCACCAAGTGTTTAGTCTATGAAATATTACTTCCAATTTTAATAGTCCATATGATCTGATCATAATAAAATGTAGTTGCGCACCTACACCTAGTTGTGATAGGATCTATATGTTGGATATGTTGTGTAAGACCATAACCTATATTTGGTATGTACTTGACCCGAGAGTAGCATGGTCCATTTGGGTTGCACTTCACCGGGACAATTTGAAGGATGGACTTTTGAGAAGAGGATAATTATGATTTATTAATATATTATAAGTTTAATATATTAATATGAAATCATATTATTTAATTAGCATTGATCAAGAATTAAATTGGAATTAATTTTGTGATAAAAAAGAGACTAATTAAATATATAGGGATTGATTGTGTAAATCATTCATTCTTATAAAGTGGGCTAATGATCCCTGATTCCTTATGTTGGGCTAAACCCATGTGGTGACCCATGGATACTCCATGGAGGTTAAAACCCATGGAGCATGATGAATGTGGATAGTCATGCACATTAGGGTTTGCATGTTGTAACCCTAATGTAGCCA